GTAAACCATATATGTAAATATGTGTGTAAGTATCTTCTTTATCACCAAAGTGCAAATTTCTACTTAAGAGTACAAAAAAAATATTAGGGGACAGGGATGGTAGGAGGGGGTGGCACACCCAGTGGTGCTCAGGGTTTTCTCCTCCCTCAGGGGTTACTCCTGGAAGGACTCAGGGGACCATATGTGATGCCAGGGTCAGTGCAAGGTAAGTACTGTGTGTCTGCATGGGACACATTCAAGTACCTATTACACTACTGCTCTAGCCCTAAGAACAAAAACCTTTACCCTGTGATTAGACCTATCTTTTTTCAGTAACCATGCATTGTTGCTGACAGATAATAATTTAGTATTACAATTTCTTTAGCTGGATTAGGTTAAGAAACAAAGTGCCAGAGATAGTACAACACGGGGCAAAGGCATTTGTCTTGCCAATAGCATAAAATCCTGGCACTGCATATGGTCCTCCAAGCACTGTCAAAAGTGATTTTTTGAGCACAGAGACGGTAAACCAACTCCCCCTCTGCGCCTTCCCCCCAAAACACACAATGTTTTTAAAAGAAACAAATGAGTTTCAGTTATAGCTTAATCAAAGTGTCCCTTTGGTTGTTCTGAAATAATCTAAGTGGAAAAGAGTTATGGTGCTCCTGGGAAATGACATAGGACATCAGGTGCTAATTTCTATTATAATATGTCAAACTGAAGCCAAATATACTAGCCCTAAAAATTTTTAATCTCATAGAAATATCAGTGAATTGGCATAGGAGTCCTAGCCTATAAGCTAATCTACTTCAGAAATATTCCTATCAACTCCCCAAATACAAAATGTAGACCGTGAAATGCACACCTGAAGTCATTTGTTTTGTTCTGTTGTTATTGGTGGTCTTTTTGGGTTACACCCAGTGATGCTCAGAGGTTACTCCTGGCCCCGTACCCAGGAATTATTCCTGGCAGTGCTGCTCAGGGAACCATATGGGGTGCTGGGGATCAAATCTGGGTCATTTGTGTGCAAATGGCCTACCCGCTTGTACTATCATTCTGGTCCCTGAGGTCATTTGTTAAATCAACAAATTAGCCTTTTGAAAAGGCACCAAAAATTTTTACTTTAATTATCGATCCCTGAGCACAGAGCCAAGAGTAAACACTAAACACTACTGGATGTGGCCCAAACCATCTAATGAAACAAAGTAATTTTAACACAAAGTGATTAAGAATTTAAAATGTAGATCCAGACCTCGCACCAGGACACCAGGGCAACTTGAAGAGGGGTGGGTTGAGTTTCCTTCCCCGCCCCAACCTGGCAGCCGAAAATCTCCAGAACCCAGCTGCAGCCATGTCACAGCTGCTCTCCACAGACTCAAATGAGCCTCACCCATGAGGGAATCTGCAGAAAAACCCAGGTATGCGACACCTGTGACTAAAATTTCCAAGCTTGCTCCGAGCGGGAATGAGCCTCCTCCCTCCATCTCCCAAGTTTACCATTAGCTTGGCAGTCACACCAACAAACTGCCCCTGGTGTCATATAATCTCATCAATGGCCATGATCCAGAGACTCAGAAATAAAGCTCCTGAAAGAGCAACATGGACTTACCCATGAGTGAATCTACTGTACAATCATACTCTAAATCTTAGAATTCCTGGAGGAAACAGCGGCATTCGCACCTATGCGACCTCTCATACTCTACATCACTAACATACCAAGAATAGCATACAACATTTGATTTGGTTTAACAAACATGTTTGTAATCTCTTACACAAGGGCTTATTGGCTCCAGGATGAAATACAACTATTTTCACACACTTTCCTCTAAGGAAACTTTACTGGACCATTTTTAGCGGACTATTCATAACAAGCAATAAAAAATTAATTATTTTGTTCTGCTCTGGAGGCACGATTTGGGATTTGGGATGGTAACATTTGAAATGTGGTGGGAAGGTACAATGGTGGTGGGACTGGTGTTTGAATATTAAATGTAATGAATTATCATGAACAACTTTATAAAAATAAAATTTGGGAAAAAAAGAATTTAACAAATATCATTACTCTCTGTAACAGTTACCAAATCCCTGGAGAAGAAAGATAGCACTTAATAGATAGGAGGAGGGAGGTGAGGGAGGGGAGGGGACGGGGATAGGACACAACACCCTAAATCAGACATTATACTGAAGGCTCAACATATCTTTTCAATTCACCTTACTTCCATAAATATACTTTTATCAAAATCATTCCAGAGTAGGTTATTTTTATATCTTAAGATATACTTGCAAGTATATCAAAATCAGATCTGCAAGGTGAAAAGTACTGAAATATGTATTTTAAACAAAACTGAATATAAGTTTCAGCAGTTTTCAAATAAATTTCATCAACAGGGCTCTCAGAAGACCACGGTTTTAGTATATACCTATGCACAGCATAAAATACCCTTTCTATGTTTCATAATTTGTTCCAAGCTAAAACAAAGAACCACCTCTCAGCTCCAATATAAAAGAAAGGCCTTTTTTGAAGCAACAACATTCTTTCCAAAATGTAGTTGAGATATCACAAATGTGTAGAGCACATGACTGGCAACCATGAGGTGCCAAGTTCAATCACTAGTGCCATGTGGCTAAGCACTGCTAAATGCGGCCCTGTTAGTCTTCTGGGCTTTTAATGGAAGCTCCCAAGCCCCCCAAAACAAAAACAAATCAAGTAAACAGCGTAAGGGAAAAGCATAAATGCTAATAAGCCATTACTTGTCTAAACTTTCAATTATTTATGGACAAAGTTTATTTTCAGCAGAAATATGAAACTAGCCATATTTATCAAACTGAAGATTAAGAATAAAAATGTATTTAGGCACAGAATACCATGTGTATAAATATGGATTCTTAACACATAACTGAAAAAGAAGGATATATAGTTTTTTAACGCAACACTTGGGCCTGAAGCAAAAGTATAGTGGGTAGAGCATTTGCCTTTCACACAGCCAACCCAGATTCAATCTTCCAGGCACTGTAAGGACTCCCTAAGCCCACTAGGAGTGAATCCTAAACACAAGAACCAAGAGTAAGCCCTGAACAACACAGGTGTGGTTCAATAAGCTAAATAAATAAAGCAATACTGAAACAACTATACTATGAGCAACTTGGTAAATCAGTGTTATAATAAAAAAAATTTTTTAATAAAATAAAAAGGTAACATTGGTCAAAATTAAGTTCAAAATGAGTTTTTGAAAAGTGGCAGTCAAAAATGCCAGTAATCCTGGAGCCAGAGTGACAGTACAATGAGCAGGGCATTTGTCTTACACCTAGCCAACCTAGTTCAGTTCCTGGTCTCCCAAGCACCACTAGGAGTAGTTCCCCAGTGCAGAGCCAGAAGTAAACTCTGAGCATCATGAGGTGTGGCCCAACCCTACCCCCCAAGTTATGGTAATCAAGGATAACAATAAATGAAGTCTATTTCAACCAAAACAATTAATTACTAATCAGTCAACTTATAGTCTGCAGTGGGATACAGCCAAAGTAGGTAATACAGTTTCCAGGGGAACTGGTACAATTCAGGGTACAGGAGTATGCTCAGATAAAATCTTACCCTAACAAAGTCCCATCAGGCACTCCCATACCACAAAGACACCCCCATGCTTCCACTCAGACTGTCGAGTTAAAAATTCTAGATTTTCTGGAGTGACATAATCTAGCTCTACAACACTGACATCCCATACTGGATAGGATGTAACGTGGAAGTCAACCAACCTAGACTAACAAAAAGTGTTAACACAGAAGGTTTAACTTACAACAGTAACTTAGTAAACCCCCAGACAGGACTTGAAGTCCTCATGATGGGATACAACAATTTTCACAAATTTTCTTCTATGAAAATATTTTTTGATCATTCTGTCAGCCATTTAAAAGCAATACAAGCAATATAAAATAAATTACTATGGGCCTGCTATAGGGGCAGGCTTGAAGGGTGGTTGGGAAAACAAGAGACCATGGTAGAGGGAAAGTGACAAAGGGGGTGGGAATGGTATTGAATACTGAATGCCTACAACAAATCATCATGAACAACTTTGAAAACCATGGTATTTACAGGGAAAAAAAGAAATGCTGCAGAAAATAAAATGAAAATGATCACAAGATTATAATAAACTAATATAAAACATTCTTTAAATGATAATACTGCAAAAGAAAGATAACATTTCTTCTGTAAGATTCTCACAAATATGTTTTCCCAAAACCTTAAGTTAGTAATCACAGAAGAAAATTTTAGCTCCATTAAATTCAAAATTTTGCAAAGATGAATAAGCTGTCCCCTAATATTACAAGGAAGTAATCACACAGGGTGACTAGCTTCTTAGCAAAAGTTCAAAGAAACACATTAAGTTTATATATCATGTCTATAATAGTGAATCTAATAATTGCATTTATCCTCTCTGGAGAAAAAGCAAAAATAATGATTGTGAACATTTTAATTATACATAAATAAACACAAAGCAAGTGAAAGACAACTGATATATCTAGATCAATGATGTTCAAAGTATCAGTTTTAATATCTTAGGTTTGGTGTAAAAATTGAATAAAATAGTTTAAGTGTCTAGAACAAAGCAACTCTGAAAAAGTCATTCTGTTTTTCCTCTGCCATATGATAACTCTGATGACATAGCTCAATTTTTATTATTTGCTCTTCACAGAGCAATAATATTCATGATTTGGAAAAACTGAAACACGGTTCATAACATTATTTTAAAAGGAATAATCATGAGCACATTAAAAACATTTTTTTAGAAAAGCTAAATTCTATAACTTTATATGGATACTGTAAGTTAATTTGAAAAAGAGCTAGAAGCTAAATTATTTGTAACTTTGTATTTATACTTCCATCACCCAACAAATAGTACTAATCCCTTTTATCATGTGGTAGTCATTTGTAAATAAAAGTGGTTTCACCCCTTCCCCCGCCGCCCCCTTAACTGAAGATTTTTAATTAAACTTGTATTCTATAGAATGTAAGAGATAATTCTAACCTGGATTCTGGCTATAAAACGGCCCTCCGTTCATCTGGTTCTGAAGACTTGTCTGTGAAGTTATGGAAGGAGGGCGTCTATAGGGCAAAGACCCCCCTATTGTTGGGGGAGTATGGCGAGCAACAGGTCTATTCATACTGTAGAACTGAACAGGATGACCTAGAAAACAAACAAAACATAAATTTGTCATTAAAATAAAATTCTTTATGATAATAAAAAATATTTTAATATAATGCCTGATTATTAACATTATTTAAAAAATAGTGTTTTGATAATTGGTACCTGATAAGCAGATTGAAAGGAAACACTTATTGCTCAGTTAATGTTACATCAAAGTGCAAAATCAGAAATACAGATGAAGAACATGACTAAGTAGGAAAAGCTACAGAGATGATTACTATTACTTTAATAAATTATAAGTCTGGCAGTTTTAAATCACAATTAATTAAAATTACTTGCTCACCCCTGAAAAAGTCACTGAATACTGAAAACAAGATCACATTTGGAAAAGTCAAAAAAAATACATATGAAAGTCCCATTCCAAAATAATAGTAGAAAATCACTATCATACTGGATCCTTCTCTATCCTAACTGCCCTTTGTGGCCCCCCCCGCCCCTCCCCCCACTCTTGTGGAAAGCTTCCAACCACTGGTCAGTCCTCCTAGACCCTGTTTTCCCTGACCTTGGATATTAGTCTCGTGCTATATATTATTTTTTATATCCCACAAACGATAGAAGTCATTCTGTATCTGTCCCATTCCTTCAGACTCATTTCACCCAGCATGATACTCTCCATGTCCATTCATTTATAAGCGAACGTCATGACTTCATTTTTTCTAACAGCTGCATAGCATATTATTGTGTAGATGTGCTATAGTTTCTTTATCTATTTGTCTGTTCTTGGACACTGAAATGTTTCCAGATTCTGGCTACTGTGAACATTGCTGCAATGAACACAGACGTGTAGACAACATTTCTGTTGTGCTTCTGGGCCACCAGGCTATATTCCCAGAAGTGGTATTGCTGGGTCAAATGGGAGATCTAGTTTTTTGAGGAATGTTCACATTGTTTTCCAAAAAAGGTTGGACCAGTTGGCATTCCCACCAACAATGAAAGAGGGTCCCTTTCTCCCCACATCTGTGTCAACACTGGTTACTCTTGTTCTTTTGGATGTGTGCCAGTCTCTGTGTATGAGATGATATCTCATGTTGTTTTGATTTGCATCTCCCTGAGGATTAGTGATGAAGAGCATTTCTTCGTGTGTCTTTAAGTCATCTGAATATCTCCTTAGAAGTTTCTGTTCATTTCTTCTCCCCATTTTTTGATGGGGTTGGACTTTTATTTTGTTGTGAAGTTCTACCACTGCCATATATATCTTGGATATTAACTCCTTATTAGTTGGGTATTGGGTAAAAAATTTTCCCCATTCCGTACACTGTCTTTGTATCTTAATCACTGTTTCTTTTGAGGTGCAGAAGCTTCTTAGTTTTATGTAGACCCATTTACCTTTTCTACTTGCTTCGTCAGTGGCATTTCATCTTTAAAGATGCTTTTAGCTTCAATATCATAGATGGTTTTGCCTATGTTTTTCTTCACATACATTATAGACTCAGGTCGGATGTTGAGATCTTTAATACTACTTTGATAATCTATACACTATGAAACAAGACAACCTAGAAGAAATGGATAAATTCCTGGATTCCTATAATTTCCCAAGATTGAACCAAGAAGACTTGGAATATCTGAATAGACCCACTCATATCAAGGAAATTGAAACTGTAATCAAAAGTCTTCCCAAAAAACAAAAGCCCAGGCCCAGATGGATTCACTAGCAAATTTTTCCAAATGTTAAAAGAGGACCTATTGCCAGTTCTTCTCAAGCTTTTCAGGAAACTGAAGAAACAGAAACTCTCCCAGTTTCTATGAAGCCCATATCTCTCTAATACTAAAAGGAAACAAAGACACCACAAGAAAAGAAAACTACAGGCCAATATAACTGATGAACACAGATGCAAAGATCCTCAACAAAATACTAGCAAATAGAATTCAACAACTCATCAAAAAGATCATACACCATAACCAAGTGGAATTCATTGCAGGAATGCAAGGATTTTTTTTTTGTGAACTTTTTTTTTACATTTAATTATTTTTATTTCTACATAACTAAATAAAACTTGTAGTTCTGTTTTCATGATGATCTCCACTTCTTTTTTTTCTTTATATATACATATATATATATATTTTTTTATAAGTGAAACACCATGAGGTACAGTTGTAGATTTACAATTTTTTGTGCTTGGGTTTCGATTATACAATGATCAAATACCCATCCCTCCACCAGTGCCCATTTTCCACCACCATGGATAATATCCCCCCCACCTACCCCCATCCCCCCATCCCACCCTGCCTCTGTGGCAGGGCAATCCCTTGTGTTCTCTCTCTTCTTTTGGGTGTTGTGGTCTGCAAAAGAGGCATTGAGTGGCAAACATGTTCAGTCCATAGTCTACTTTTGACATGCATCTCCCCTCCTGGGAGGATCCTCCAAACACCCTTTATTTGGTGCTCCTTCTCTATCTGAGCTGCCATAAGGATGTTTTAACATTCGGAAATCAATCAACATAATCCATCATATCAACAATAGAAAAGATAAAAACCATATGATCATATCAATAGATGCAGAGAAAGCATTTGACAAGATCCAGCACCCTTGTATGATGAAAACCCTCACCAAAATGGGGATAGAGGAGACTCTTTCAATATAGTTAAAGCCATCTATGACAAGCCTACAGCAAGCATCATCCTCAATGGGGAAAAACTGAGAGCCTTGCCCCTAAGATCAGGAACGAGACAAAGATGCCCACTCTCTACACTGCTGTTCAATATAGTACTAAAGGTACTTGCAATAGCAGGTAGGCAAGAAAAAGATATTAAGGGCATTCAGGTAGGAAAGGAAGAAATCAAGCTCTCAATACTGGCAGATGATGCAATACTATACTTAGAGAACCCTAAAACCTCTACCAAGACAATAGCCAAAACAATAGCAACAATAGCCAAAATCTGAAAAAACCTGAGTGCCCAAGAACAGATGACTGGTTAAAGAAACTTTGGTACATCTATGCAACTGTTAGAAAAGATAAAGTCATTAAATTTACATACAAGTAGTACTACATGGAAAGTATCATGTTAAGCGAAATGAGTCAGAAAGAGAGGGATAGACATAGAAAGATTGCATTCATCTGGGGAACATAAAGTAACAAAACAGGAGACTAACACCCAAGAGTGGCCGAGATTAGTAGTAGGAATTTTGCTGCATGGCTTGGAGGCCAGCCACACATGCTAGGGGAAAAGGGAGCTCAGATAGAGAAGGGAGCCCCAAATAAAGGGTGTTGGGAGGATCCTTTCAGGATGGAAGAAGCATGCTGAAAGTAGACTATAGACCAAACATGATTGCCATTCAATGCCTCTTTTGCAAACCACAACACCCAAAAGGAGAGAGAGAACAAAAGGGAACGCCCTGCCACAGAGGCAGGGTGGGATGTGCGGGATGGGGGGAGGGAGGGATACTGGGACCCGTGGTGGGAGAAAATGGGCACTGATGGAGGGATGGGTACTTGATCATTGTATAACTGAAACCCAAGCACAAAAATTTGTAAGTCTACAACCGTACCTCATGGTGTTTCACTAATAAAAAGAAAAAGAAAATATAACTGAAATGAAAAAGTCACTGAAAATATGCTTTTGAAAAGATAGAAGAATCTTGGGTACTTTGGTGGTAGTGAAGGTAAGTATTTATGTCTATAATAAAGTATAAATATAAAATGGTATTGTAATCATGCCACCTCAGTGCCAATAAAAAAGAAAACTGGTTTCCAAAAAAAAAAAAAAAGAAAGAAAGAAATGAAAAAGGGGACATTACAACAGAAACCAATGAAATCCTAAAGATCATCAGAGACTACTTTGAGAATCTATATGCCACAAAACAAGAGAACCTAGAAGAAATGGATAAATTTCTGGATTCCTATAATCTCCCAAGACTGAACCAGGAAGATGGGGTATCTGAATAGACCCATTCATATCAAGGAAATTGAAGCGATAATCAAGTCTTCCCAAAAACAAAAGCCCAGGCCCAGATGGGTTCACTAGTGAATTCTTCCAAACATTCAAAGAAAATCTTTTGCCAGTTCTCCTCAAGCTTTTCGAGGAAACTGAAAAAACAGGAACTCTCCCAAACAGCTTCCATGAGGCACATATCTTCTTAATACCTAAAGCAAATAAAGACACCACCAACAAAAAAAAAAACTAAAGGCCAATATCCCTGATGAACACAGATGCAAAGATCCTCAACAAAATATTAGCAAACAGAATCCATCAACTCATCAAAAAGTTCATACATCACGACCAAGTGGGATTCATCCCGGGGATGCAAGGATGGTTTAACATTTGGAAATCAATCAACATAATCCATCATATCAACAAAAGTAAAGATAAAAACCATATGATCATATCATTAGACACAGAGAAACCTTTTGACAAGATACAGCTCCCGTTTATGATGAAAACTCTCACCAAATGGTTTTGAAGGAACTTTCCTCAAGACAGTCAAAGCTATCTATGACAAACCCATGGCAATCATTATCCTCAATGGGGAAAAACTAAAGGCCTTTCCTCTAAGAGCAGGGACAAGACAAGGATGCCCACTATCACCACTTCTGTTTAACATAGTACTGGAAGTACTTGCAATAGCAATTAGGCAGGAAAAAGACATTAAAGGTATCCAGACAGGAAAGGAAGAAATCAAGCTCTCACTATTTGCAGATGATATACTTTATCTCGAGAATCCTAAAGCCTCTACCAAGAAACTCCTAGAAACAATAACCTTGTACAGAAAAGTTGCAGGCTATAAAATCAACGTCCAAAAATCCATGGCCTTCCTACATGCAAATAATGAGAGGAAAGTGACATGAAAAAAATAATCCCGTTCACAATTGTGCCCCAGAAAATCAAATACCTCAGAATCAGCCTAAGTAAGGAGGTAAAGGATCTCTACAATGAAAACTACAAAACCCTACTCCATGAAATAAAAGAGGACATGAGGAAATGGAAACACATCCTCTGCTCATGAATAGCAAGAATCAACATCGTCAAAATGGCAATACTCC